TTTAGTGGGTTCATAAGCTCATTTTCCTGGAGAAACGTGTGCAATACCTATATTGGGGTTGGGCAGGCTTGCAGCTAAGCCATGCATGGGTTTGATGTGTGCTAATGGGAGAAGGCATTTAACCTCGGCTGAAGCTGTCTTGCTTGGAAGCTGGTGGGACACACCTGCAGAGAGGAGTGAACTGTGCCTCATGTTCCATGGGAGTCACAGCTGGTGATGGGGGTGCTGGCCTTGGGGGAGGGCATGAGCTGGGGTGTCTGTCTGAAGAACATTGGCTAATGGAGTGAGGAGGAACATGTCCCGTGTTCGTTGGCATCAGTGGGTTTGCCTGTGTATGTTCTTAGCTTTTAGCTTTTACAGGGAGTTCTCGGATCTTCAGGAGTTGGGCTTTGCCCACCTAGTAGGCCTTGAGCATGGCGTTTCGATGTGCAGAAATGTCTGTCAGCTTTAGCAGTTGTGTGTCTGCTCCAGGGCAGGACGCCATGTGGTGGATGGGAAGGCAGGTTTCTCCGGTGCCATCCACCTTCATCTGCACACAAAAGGGAGGTGGTCATGAGAAAGATGCAGGGATACTTGCAAGTTGTATCCATCCTGCATACTTCAAGTGCCCTGACACTGGGAGATGGGACATATGGTAAGTGTGCACAGCCGGGCCGGAGCAAGTTTAGTACCGTTTGGCAGAGTCAGACCTGAGGGCCACAGCAGCGTGTCTTCGTTAGGAACAGACATGATTGTAAGCTCTTTTCCCAATCTGTAGTCACTACAGGGTAGCTATCTTCTCTAGAGCTTACAGACAAACAACTAGAAGATTTGAATCCAACATCTTAAACTTTTTAAAAGCCAGAAAGCACCTCCTTTCATTGGAAAGGAAATCTGAGACTCCACCACTTTGCTTTAAAAGGTCCCAGGCTGGCAGTTCTGGCAGGGGAAATGCTGGCCCTTGTTTTCTGTGCTTCCTGAACAACCAGCACAGTCTCTTCTCCCCATTTTACACCTTGCCCAGACCTGAAGGGGTTACGCTTTAAAATGAATAATGACTAAATTTATTCGTCATGGACAAACGATGACAGCTGTTGAGATGCTCCTGTTAGCGCTTCCCAGGGGACAAAGTCAGGCTGGATCCTAGCGCAAACCAGCCCAGCCAGGCAGACTCAGCTTGGCTTCGTCCTGGGTTATTCGTCTTGGGTTCCCCTCGCTAGCAGGGAATTTCCTTCCTAGAAGTGAACCAAAGTTTCCGGGGCTGAGATGGGTGTTGATGAGAATCCCGCCGAGCCGCAGTCGCAGAGAGCACTGAAGCCATAGCTGTTTAAATCCACGTGTGAAGACAGCATGCTTAATGAATACGAGGGGCAATGATTGATTATGTTCTGGACTGAAAGCCGCGGCGCTCTGTGAAGCACTGTTACATCTGGGCACGGTATGGAAAATATGAAGGAATGTTGAGGAAGCTTATTTGCAGAAGGATATGTACTTGTAAGCAATTTTTCTTTCTTCTTAAATAATGTAAAGGAATTGAAAAATGTAAAGCAAACTGCATTCTCTGTTTCTCTAAGAGAGCAGAGTAGTAAGGAGACAAAGGCCTCTTCTATAAGGGCATGTCTCTGACGGAGAGTGCTAGATGGCCTTTAGAAATGAGCGCTGGGGGGGCTTGGGGTGGGAGAACATCAATGGTTATTTAATGTTAAATCGTGGCACTGATTCCGCTTCAGTGCACCTCTGCCGGAGTCATGAGAGTTACACCCATGCTGAATTTACCACCTTATTTCCAGATAAGCTGCAAAAAATATGATCCTAGTTCAAATGATTATTGTGAACAGGAGTCAGTGAATGGGCGTAAAAAAAGGCTTTTTAATGATAATGTATAGTAGCTTGTTTTTCTCTTATTTTCTGTACTTCCATGGTCAGGTTTCTTTCTGTTCTTTGTTTCTCTTTCTGTCCTGCACACGTGCTGCTGGAAGACTTGATGTGCAGTTCTGAATGTGGCGCTGTCATTCTGCACTGCTCAGATGAGAAAATGCTGTTGGGTTATTGAAGGGGTATTTGGATTTGATAAATATATAATGTTTAGTTTGTAGACTTCAATGAACAGGAAGATGTGGTTGTAATCCAAACATCCCCAAAACTGTGGGTGGGCTGGTTGGTGTTTTGGAGTGTTGATTTTTTAGCTAACGTTCGGAAAACCCTGTTTTAAATGAAATTATAGCTTGTTTAATTGGTAAAATGCTACAGGAGTGCAATCCTCTTAATGTCTGTTTTTCTGAATTTGTATTTATTATATGAAATAGCAAACCACACCCTCTTCTCTCTTCAGAGGGGTGAGTCTTTAGAAATGCAGATACAAGAGGAAGTGAGTTACCTGAGACTGCATCTAGACAGCCTGAAATGCAGCTGATGGAGAATTTTATTACCAGATGAAAGTGGTTGTGAGGTAGTGAAGTATCTTTTGTTTTGAGTGTGTCTGGCTTTCTCTTGGCTGGTAATATATATGACAAAAAATCATTTGCCTAATATCTATATGAGCTTTTGAAATAAATGGAATTGGGGCAAATTTTGCTCAGAAGTTTTTGTATTCAAGGTCTGTGCAAATCTTTCTGTATCGCTTAAACCCCTTCTTAGAGGCTTCAGAGATTACATGTTTTAAAGTCTGTTTTGATCTGCCATGACCTTCCGTACAACTCTCACCGAATAATGTTTTTGTAATAATTCATGTTTGAACTAGACTGCATCTTTCGGGGAGGGGGGGGGGGATCAATCTTGCTTTTTAAGAACTGCCTGTGGTATTATTCGCTGGGTGACGCACCTCCTAACCTTGCAGGGAGTCAGTCCTCTGCTTATTGCAAAAAATAGAGGTTTAAAAAAACAAAGGGAGGAAAAAAAGACAATTCAGAAATTTCATTTATTTTTAACCTCCAGCAAGTGGCCTTGTTATATATTTTTTTATTAGGTGAGAACCAGTGTTAAATCACACTGGAAAACTGTGTTAATAAATCTTGAGTTGCTGTGTTAACACAAAATATAATCAAGCAACTTGTTAAGCATCTGGCCAGGCTAAACAGTGCCCTGCAGTGAATTTTCATGTAATTTAATTAAAAACATATTTTCCAATCCTTTAATTGTTCTCACGGTTCTTCCCTGAGCTCTTTTCAAATTATTTTTGAATTAGGTGTGTCAGAACATGACCGGTGTCAATACGGAGGTAGTACAGTCTCTGTGGCTGCCTTAGGGCACTGAGTTAGAGAGCACCCACATCCTAAATGTGGCTTAGTTCTTCTCCTTAGCTGTGTGACCTTACATTTCTTGATGTTAAAGTTTGTATGTCCACTTTTTTCTTGTTCACTTTTGGCTGAACAGCAGTCCAAGTACTTGTTATTATATTACCTCTTGCCTTTAGATGTTACTCTTTTCCTAGCCCATTCCCATATTCCAAGACTGCTTGGACGTCAAAATTAAGGGGAGAGATGTCCTTGCAAGCTACCTTTCTTAACTTGCTGGATAGAACCATAGAACCATTCAGGTTGGAAAAGACCTTTAAGATCATCGAGTCCAACCGTAAACCTTTGCTGCTGTCTACCTGTCACTTCAGTGTTGTGCTGTGATTGGAGCATGGCATCATGTGCATGGGTGCATACCAGAAATGTGGGGTTTAGGTTTTTAAATGATTTCTGATGGTTCTCCTGTGCCCAGCTGTTACTGAGCCAATGCGACTTTGGGCAGGGAAAACTCCTTACGGCTGTTGTGCTGAGGACAGTACAGGCTTTTCTTTCTGTTCTTTTGCCTCCCCTAGAATATGTCTCTGCTATTTGTTTTCTTACTTTCAGAAAGCTCAATCTGTATTGAATTTCACTCATTAGTGTTAACTCCTAGTGTCACTAGGAGCCTGTATTTGTTACTAGATATTCCCAGGTGCTTTCTTGAATAGGGATGGATTAAAGCACCTGCTTGAGTTTTTGCCAAGTGAAATTTTGCAAAGGCAATGTTCCTGAAACGATGGAGAGTGGGTGCATGCCTTGGACTGTTGGAGAGGAATGGACATGAAGCAGGTCTCAAATCTTGAATGAAGTGTTTAGTGTGGAGAAGCTAAATGATGGGGACTGAAGTGGCTTTTCTGGCCTCAATAAATAATGTGCACCATCTGTATCAGCTGTCCAAACACTTTGTCACCTTTCAACCTAAGGCCGGTTTTTAAAGTGGGTTAGCTAATCTGTGTAAAACTGCAATATAAGCACTCCTTTGGAATCAAAGTGACCTTCACTGAGAATCAAAGTGACTGTAATTCATTCTAAGTTAATTTATGTTCGCATTTGGAGGTAGAGGCTGCAGTTCCCTTTAGACGTACACAGAGGATTCAATAAGTTTTAATTCACCTTATGGCTTTTATGAATTTGAGGTAATTTTTTCTATTTGCTTGTAAAGAATCTCTGGTGGTCATTTGAAAAGTTAAAGTGGATTTGTAGCTCTGGATGCCTCTGTGATAAATGGTCTGTGGTTTATCAACAGCGTAGGTGTTGCCATGCGATCTTTCCTGGCTTACCCTGTTTGTTCTCGATCTGGTGCAGGCATTTAGCAGGATGTTACAGGGCAGCCTGTGCTGCCTGATCCCCTCCACACTTGGATCTTGGATTTGCTCATGGTCTTGGCTTCACTGCAGCCCATCGCAAAATAGCTCTTGGAAGCATAAACATCAGAGATACAGACCGTAGACACCCCAAGTATTATCAGTGGCTTGCATCTTTCTGCTATAGATTTGAAGTTTATTCTTTTTATTTGAATGCATTCATTGAAAGGGTTTATAACATAGTGGCTGGAATAGAAAAGGATTGGTTTCAGTAGCCTGGTGGTCATTCATGAATAACTGGATTTCTAGCATGAACACACTGCTGAGACGAGAGTTGGCAGAGCAAACCTGAACATGCAGCATTTTTGCCATTGTGTGGGCATGTTCCTTGGGACATCCCTTTGCTTCATCGAAATTATAGTTGAGTGTGCTTTTTTTTTGGCAGATAAAATTTTTGACGATGAAGACTCCGTGGATGGGAACAGACCTTCCTCAGCTAGCTCCTCTACATCTTCAAAGGCCCCTGCAAACTCACGTAGAGTTGGGATGGGGACTACCCGCAGACTTGGGTCTGCAGCTCTGGGCTCCAAGTCTTCAAGTAAGCCAATAGCATATATGAATTGACCTTTATGTGGAATGTTTATAGAGTTCATGCTTGAGCTTATTGCAAGGACTTCCAGATTGGCCCCAGGACCCAGTAACACATTTTCCCCTGTGAAATCATTGCGTGTACGATGTCTGCATGCCACGACCAGACTTGGGTAGGATGAATCTTCAAGCAGTCCCCACATCCCTATAATGAGTTTTGCATTTGTGAAAGGTTGGATCTGTGTGGATATGCACTGAGGGCTATGGGTAAATCATGTCAGTGTTGCAGTGTGTCAATTTTTGCCTTTATAGCTGCAACTCTTTAGCTGAACAGAGGCAGGTTGCTTACGGCTACATGCTAAACTTCAGCCCATGCAATCTAAACCTGATGCGTTGGCTTTCTTCTAAGACCTCTGGGCATTGCTGGTAATGAAGGTGCAGAAAGAAAACTGAGCAATAATTCTGAATGTGAGCAGTAATTCTACATGTGATTGTAATTCTACATGTGACCTAGAGAAATGGGTAAAGTTCCCTCTGTCAGACAGTCTCTATTCTGATTAGTATTCCAGAGACTGTTTATCTTCCTTATCATTTGTCTGTGTTTTCCCCTGTCAGATCTGCATCTTCATCTATTACAGATAGGATTAAATCCTTTAAAATAAAATCTCCCATATAATTAAAGTAAATATTCCCTTTCATCTTTCAGACTGTGTCCCATAACTGTTGCGTGACTACTGTAATGACTTCCCTAATGTGGCCCCTGTGCCTAGGAGTTGAAGGATGCTGTGAATGTCTAGCTATGCCTGGCATTGAATTTCCCTGTCTCTACTTTCATTACATCTATAGCACTCAGAGGCTGCATGAATAGTCAACTTTTCCTGATTAGGTGCCTTGATAGCTGGTGGTTTCTTAATTGATTCTCTTGTTGATAAGAAGATTGAAAAGGCTTTTTCATTTGTATGTCAGCAGCCAAAGAGGGAGCAGGTGCTGTGGATGAAGAAGACTTCATTAAGGCATTTGAAGATGTCCCAACGGTTCAGGTAAGTAGAAGTACGTGTTAAAACACACAATACTAAAAAGCAGAAGATGGATATGGGATCTAGTCCTAATCTCTGGCAAATTGTGCTTCATTGTGATGTTGGCAAATCTTCTTCAAGGGGAAGGCAAGTTGGAAATTGGAAGGAAGAAGGTCTTAAATGGTGGTATCTGCCAGTAGTTATGTGAAACCCTCAAAAGTGGAGGTAATGGGGATGGGACGGTTGTGATGGAGGTATCACAAGAACGGACATGGAGCTGGAACTGGATGTGCATGCTGCACAGTGCAATCTGCTCAAACAAAAACCGAAGCCAGCAGAAGCCTCTCTACACTTCATCTGTACCATCTGGGAACTGAAAGCAATAATGCCAACTTGTGTGTCTGGGATCACTGCTGTTGTGAGTGCCACAACTGGATAGTGCATGTTTGCTGGTAGATTTAGCTGCATACCTGAGATGTCACATATCCCCTGTCCTTCACCAGAGCTTTATTTTTGGGACAGGTGAACAGCACATGTATCCACTCATGATCTTTCGTAGGTCTTCACTAATATAGCCACTAGTAGCTGCAGGAGTGCTGCTTAAAATTGTGAAAATAAAATAGTAAAAGATGATACTTTAATCATCTTGTAGTCATTTAGTAATTTTTGATTGCAGGAAATGGGTGTAAATTCTTTGCATTATGGAAGGCCAGCTGTATCCAAGGCTAGCACATGACATTTAAGTATTGAGGAGCAAAGGATGTAAGAATGTAGTTGGGAAATGATCTGATTTTCTGGAGTAAATCTTGCGTTATTGTCCTACTCTGTATTTAAATTTGCAGATTTATTCGAGCCGGGATCTTGAGGAATCGATAAACAAAATAAGAGAGATACTATCAGATGATAAGCACGACTGGGAGCAGAGAGTTTCTGCGGTAAGTAGTGAACTTAGATATGAACTCTCTTAATATAAGGTTTTCCTACACTGAGCTTAATCCCTTGAAGAGGGTACTGAGAGAATCTCAGAGTAAGGCTAGAATGTGGTTGAAGTGGTGAACATCTGTTATGTTCCCCCAAGCTTGGGGGAAATGTTTCCTTATGAGACTGAATTTAAACTACATCTGTGAAGGAAAATGCTATTTGATATACAAGAACCTGTCAAGATGGCATCAGGCTGAACTGGAAGTCATGCAGGAAATCCAGACATAAAGCTAGAAATTTTCTAGCAGATGCTGAAATCAAAATGTCAGAAGTGCTATTCAGAATATCTCAAAACTTTATGATGAAGCAGAAAATCACTTGGTTATAGGGAACTTATCTATACCTTTGCAAAAGGAGGTGTAAAATAGTTCAGAAAGAATTTACATGCTTAGATCGTGAATGAAGAACTATGTGGGAAATTGTGGAAGTGAAAATCAGATGTTACATGCCTGCCAAGACTGAATTTTATTTACTGACTTAAGCTGTGTTTTCATGATATAGATGCATGATCTTGTCTACGCTTGTAGGTTTTCATCACTGGTGTAGCAACTTCGACATATCTGTCAAGTCCTGTATTACAGATCTGAGTGGCAAACTCTGCTGATTTAGCTTCCTTCAATTTTTTTCTTTGCTATGCTGAGTAAATGAGCTTACATCGAGGCACTCTGATGCATCAGTATACATGGGAGCCTGTGAAGATGTCCAAAAGAATGTCTATAAGTTAAAATGGTGGCCCCTGTAATATTAATAGAGAATTTCACATTTTGATGGGGTCAGGGTTCCATTTCTACTAGAGCCAGATAATTATTTTAATGAAGTCAATGGACATACTCTAAATGTAAGTCAGTATTACTCAGATCTGTGTATGAGCCATGCCCTTTAAGACTACCATCTTTTTAATACAATAGTCAACTGTGAGAGGACCTAAGCTTTAGAAGCTGTTGTTAATAGGTGATTTCTTATGGGAATAAAGGAGAACTGTTAAGATATCTTTTGACTTAAAAAGTAATGTTTGAGTTATTAACAATACAGTTTGAGTAGCTGTATGCAACACTTCTGGATTCCTAAAACAGGTAGTGTAGTTGTATTATCGTACTTAGTATGTGAGTATAAGATCTGAAATAATGAAATTGCTTAGACTTTAAGAACAGAGTTCCTCAATGCATATTGAAGAACAGTTGTACAAGGATCCTGGAAACCAAGTACCAGCCCTGAACATAACTGTCCTTGGACTTACTGCTCATTAACAGTCACTGCTTTCTCTTACGGTGCTAACAGTTGAAAAAAATCCGCTCCTTACTTTTGGCTGGAGCTGCAGAATATGATAACTTCTTCCAACACTTAAGACTTTTGGATGGAGCATTTAAATTATCTGCTAAAGACCTGCGTTCTCAAGTAGTGCGAGAGGCTTGTATCACGTTGGGGTAAGTTTACTTTCTAAATGAGCTTGAAATGTGATGTAGAAGAAAAGGAACAGACACTGGTTAAAACACATCTAGGATGTAACTCATAAGCTGCTAATACTATATAACTATATAACTGTACGTAGAATATTATATTGCTGCAGCTGTTTACAACCATGTCCATGTAGGCTACTAATGGTGGCCAAACTGTGTTTCTGAGTGTTGGATGATGCTGAAAGAATGAGCAAGCCTTCATGCACCGAGTAGGGAA